GTCCATTATTTAAATCATAAATTAGCAATTAAAACGCTTTCGCGTGTGCTTTTTTCGAATCTACTAGAACTGTCAACTTGCCAAAATTTTTCCTAAAAGTTTAAGTTTAGTTTGCTCTGGACAAAAAATTTTTTTAATTGTTTACTTTCTATACTGTTTTGGACTATATGATTTTAACCGTTCAACCTTATAACACTTTAGCCGAATGAATGATAAAAGAACTAGTGTAAAATTGAACATTTCGAAAATTCTTTGTCAGAGTCAGACGTCACTGGCTGAATAATGGATCCGATAAGATTTTATGCCTAGGATTTTACTGAACTGCCGAAATTGGCAAGATATTATATCCTCTTGTTTCCTGAGTCAAATATTTTCAGCCTTTCTACTTTTACCTGTTGTGTGCAACAGGTGCTTTGATTATAAGTCGGGATTTTCATTTTAACTTATTTGAATTAGCTGCAGCACGAATGCTAAATAACTGGTAGCTTTTCAAATTGCTCCGACAGGACTTGTTTGTCATCATCCCCACCTCTCTGCTTGCGCAGCTCAGTAAGCTCTAACCACTCAAAATCTCCCATACTGAAAGGATGGCTGCTTTTTGTGCAATCAAGATCAAGAAAACCATTTTCTAATATTGTCCTGTCTTGCGCACGAATGATTTACAGGGCTTGATTCTATGTTGCGAATTTATTGGGGGGAAATTCACCAGGAGTAGTTCCTGGCTCTATAATGCTATTCCATGACGCCTGCAAGGTTCATGCAAATCGATAACTCATTTCGATATTTTGATCAGCCGTAATTCACGGCATTGTTCTCCAGGCGCGTAGCTGGCAACTTCTCCAGTTTCTCTGACCAGCGCTTTTTGGTCAGCTTACTGGTGATTTTGATGTTTGTTTCGTTTCCTGAAAAGGTTATCAGATTATCGGTTTCCTCAGCTTGATCTTTGACGTTTTTGCTTTTCACTAGCTGCTTAGTTATTACAATTTCTTATTCGCTGTCGCAGGGTCACTTTGACCAAAAGACGCAGCTAGGTGTCTTTTTTTCGAAGAAAGAAAATTACAAATTTTATACAGTTCTGCAAAGTGTATTCATCACGAAACAATGATTTCTTCCTTATCAATGGAGAGAATTCGTATGTTTCGATCGTCTTTTGGGGGCTGTCCGCTGAAACATCTTCGGCGACCCCTCAGATCAGAAAAGATCTCATTTTGTTTCCTTCTGAAATTAGGTTCAGTAGATTTTGCAACGAATAGCGGCACCCTTGATGGGACCGGCGCGAGCATGCATTTATTGTACGATACGATTTCCCCTCCCCATATCATACATCTCCCTCCCACTCCTGCTTTCCCCCAAAACTCCCTCCTTGTTTCCCCTTCACAACCTTCCCTAATTTGTAGTTTTATCTTTCTTTAAGATGTTCCTTCCCCATCCTCTTTCACAACCTCCCACTTCTATCAGCTTCCAGTATTGCTGGGCTCTCAAAGGCAGTGCAGGAAAGGAGGCGGAGAAGTCAACGAAAGGGGACCAATCACGGTGAGGATTCGGATTTTCTGTGACTGGAAGCAAAAATATGAAATATGTTCTGGGTGCAAACCGCAACAAGTCTCAACGTATTGGGGCAGGCTCCCTAGTTTTTCCAATATGGCTAAAGCCTCGTCAAATGGTTCCGTCAAAAAATCCGTTGAACTGGTAATTCCTTCAGCGGGCTAAACGAACATAAGGGTTGCCTACAAGCTGACTATGCAACATTGATTAGAGCAACTGGAAAAGCCGCTAACTGCGTAACAGCTGGCGAGGCAGCCACAAACTACAGCTGATCAAAATCTGTTTGTTAATAATTGCTTGAATTTATTCACCTGTTCCGACTGTGGTATTTCATCCTCCTCGTCAATTGTTGGCCTCGAAGTTCGTTTTTTGCACTTCTCTTCATCCTCTTCCTGGAGTCGCTGATGTCGGACGGATGAGGTCTTGGATCGTTGGCTTGATGACATCCGGCGCATCATGCTTGCTAAAATAATTTATGTAATCGCATGAAACCAAACGTTATTTAATTAAAACTCATTTTAGCTCATTTGCGCAAAGGAGGAAACTCCGCCACACTCTGGACCTCGGCTACCGGATCGATTCGGAACACTGGACGAAACCGACCGTAATCGACCGAGATATATAAGAAAATTTTAAAAGTTATTCCAGTTTATGCATATCTTCAAAATTTTCAGTGACGCACACATGCGACAAGCTGAAAGCTGGGGAAAATGAAGTCTTTGTCGGGGGTTCTGGCGACGGGAAGAAAAAACAGTCCTGGGCACATTTTCATGGGATCACTATGAGGCACCATCATACAAAAGGCTGAAGCCTTATCGAAGGTGGGAAATATATTAGAGCTACCAATTCAGCTGGTAATGCTTCCATCTTGCTCAGTCCCGAGCTTATCTCAGCTCCCATACTTTGACCTTTTATTACCAGGAAAGTGTGAATTTTTAGAAAAATAATAACCGCGAACAAAGCGGACTTTTGAATAACGCCTATCGTAATGTTAAAAGAAGACAGGAAAGACCATCATTGTGGTTAGTGGAAGGATCCGACTGAAAGTCCATTTGAAATTATACGAATGAGCGAGGCCCAAAACTGAGAAAAACTGAGAAGTTACCATTTGCATCAATGAAACACGATGGTGCAAACAAAGTAATTCTGAACAAAGTAAGTAATTTTAAATAAAGACAAATACTAACATAGTCTTCGGACGATATCTTGCATCGTTTGTTGTGGTTCCTCCTCCTTCGCCCATTCCTGTAGTTCACCTTTGGCGAATAGCGCAAATGTGATTAACGCGGTCAGGTCAACACCAGCCGCTATGAGAAACGATATCCTCCAGCCCACTGCATTACCCTAAAATTGATTTCTTTCCGAAGTAAATGTATAATTTGTTTGTTGTTTCCAGTACCTTGAATCCAAAAGCAAAGCCCACGGGGTTACAGGATTTAGCCAAATTCAGAAGTGAACAGTCGGGATTTAGCGGCTGCTAAGTAATTTCAAAAAAAGCCAGTAGTAAATAGGCATATTGTCTAAAACATGGCACTTTTGCAGTTTATGGAGGAATACAAAATTAATGATTTGCAAAGCACGATCGGAAGAAGCTGAAAAATGATATGAATTCGACTTTCCATCCCAAAAAAGGTCTTCATTTGTTAAATATGGCCCTTGTGCATCGCATTTTGCACTTTCGCAAGAAAAAATTATGGAAGACGGAACACCCTGAGCAGATCCATTTAAGTGCGAGAAACTAAAAACAGGTACTTGTAATTCTGAGAATTTTCGACAAATTCGGGATTTTTTCAAAAAATGCACACTGTTAGAAATTCTACTGATTAAGATGGAAGAAAGCAATACGTAAAAAAGCCCATATTTGATGATACTTGTATGTGATGAAAAAATGTTGTGCCATCAATAACACATTATCATTTCAAGACCTCAAAGCCTGGCTTTATTAGGATCGACTGCTATCAAAAGAGCTTTATGGGTGGCGCGAGCGAATCTCCGCTGCTAGTCCCCATTTTTGCAAAAGAAACCCAGGCTGGAACGCGCTAAGCTTTCCGGTGCGACCATGCGTTTTTGCACCAAACTCGCAGATCGCTATTAGCAAAAATGATCCCTACGCTGTAGCCTAACACTTGGGCTAATATTGGCCGTGTTTTGGCCCCTTCCGGCATGCAGGAGGAAGGGCATCAGTTGGGATGCAGGTGGGGTATTATAGAGCCGCACGGACATCCAGGTGCACGACTACCGGTTTTTATGCGTTTTTGCCTATACGCAAATTGCAAAAACGCATATTGGGACGACCCTGTCTGTATGTATGTGTATGTATGTATGTGTGTGTATGTTTGTGTGTGTGTGTGTGTGTGTTCGTCTGTCTGGGTATTTCAACTCGGCAA